GGAGGAGGAGGAGGAGGAGGAGATGGGGGAAGGAGGAGGGAGGTTGAGGTGAAGCCCAGTTGCTTCCCCTCCTTCACCTCCAGCAGGTCTTGACCCAACCCGTCCAAGGAGCAGATCTCGTCCCTTGTCACGACCCCCACCACCTCCCCCAGCACGCGCATGTCTACCAGGGACATCACTCCCCCAGCTAAGCACCAGCTGGAGTCTTTCTTCACCTTCTTGCGGGAGAATGGCCTTGAGGCCGACCAGCTCGTCAACGAAAAATTCCTGAGGAGCGTAAGAGAACTCTCCTCCCTCCCTCCGCCTTCCTCCCCTCTCCCTCCCCCCTTCTCCTCCCTCATCCTCCCTCCCCCCTCCTCCCTCCTCCCTCCTCCCTCCTCCCTCCTCCCTCCTCACATACCATCTTCTGCTCCCACTCCTCCTCCTTCGCTTCAGCATTTCTACATCATCGTCACTTCGCTCCTCCACCAGCTCATCTGCCACCTCGAGTGCTCCTCAAGGTCCATGTCCCGCACATAGACCTGCTCTGACCCGTTACTCCTCCTCCTCCTCATCATCATCATCATGAGCATGAGCATGATCATCTCCATTATCATCATCATCATCATCATCATCATCATCATCATCTCCATCATCATCTCCATCATCATCATCATCTCCATCATCATCATCATCTCCATCATCATCATCATCATCATCATCTCCATCATCATCATCATCTCCATCATCATCATCTCCATCATCTCCATCGCTGCTCCTCCCGCTCCTGCACCTTCGATCCCCGCAGTTTACTTGCTTCTTCCCTTGTATTGACCTGCCAATGGTAAGGGCCTTCGCCTTGCTCCTTTGCCTTCTGACCTTCTTCACTTTCACTATCCTGATGAGAGGTTTGGTGCCTGGTCTGCCGTCAGGACGAGAAGGAAGGAGGAGGGAGGTAACAGAGGGAGAGGGAGAAATGGAAGGAGAGGCGGGAGAACGCAAGGGGAAATTGGTGAAGGAGCTGGATTGGGGAGGGGGAGAGCGAAGTGGAGGTGGTGGTGGAGGACGAAGGGGAGGATGAGGAGGAGATGAAGGAAGAACAGCACGAAGGACTGAGGAGAAGGAGGGAGGACAGGACAGGACTGAATGGAACAGGAAAGGAGAGGATAGGTGAGAGAAGAGAAAGATAGGCTGGAAAACTTTCCCTCCTACCTGGCCTCGACGAGACGCATTTCCATGGTCGAGGGGCGCGTCGTCCCGGTAGCTTCCAGCTGTTCAGCTGGGAGGAAACAGGCACAAACTTCACCTGCATGAAGATGCTTGCTCCCTGTTTGATTCTTCTGTCGGGAGAATCGCTCATCCCTTTGAGACATGGTCATGGACAAGTCGTTTTTTCATTTCCATCATCATCATCTCCATCATCATCATCATCATCATCATCTCCATCATCATCTCCATCATCATCATCTCCATCATCATCATGTTCTTCTTCTTCTTCTTCTCTCATCTCTCCCATCTGCTCTTTCCTCCTCCTCACCTTCACAGTTCATCTTGAACTCCCCGCGAACTCCATGAGCTCCCTGCACGTACCCCAGCAGAGTGTAGCCGAACGTCTGTTGACATGATGGGTCAAATCCTCTAAGAGTTGTTTGCTCTCGAGCGTTAGCTGGACCTGAGGGTTGTACGGATCGATGTCGTTCTCGTCAGGGAAAACCATGACCCTTTTCTTCCTCCCGCTGCTTCCCTCCTCCCCCTGTGCTTCGCCCTCCTCCTCCTCCTCCTCCTCCTCCTCCTCCTCCTCCTCTTCAGCAATCTCTGCCTCCTTTTCTTCCTCCTTCTCCTCCTCCACAGCAGCCTCTCTCAACCACTGGCTCTGGTTCTCCGATCCGTATCCCCCCTGCCCCACAGTGTCCCCGAAGATGCTCCTGCGGCATCCATGTCAGCGCTGCTCCTGACGGCGACGTTGCAAGAGAGTATAGTGAAGTACCTCAAGAAGTCAAGATCCTGCTGAGTTTGAGGGAGGTTGTCCGAGAAGAAGCTGTCCTCGGACCGAACATTCGTCGCCTGCTGCTCCCGCTGCTCCCGCTGCTTCTCCTTCCTTGGCTCCTGCTCTTGGGGTGCGACCTGGCCCTCGATCTTGGTCGCCTGGCTCTTCTTTCTCCTCTCCCTTCGCTGCGCGCTAGTCTCCTTCCTCTTGCTCGTTTTGCTCCTGCCTACCTTCAACCCTACAGATCTGAGGATTGAATCCCTCTCCTCCTTGCTCAGCCCCTCCATCTCAGCCACCACGTAGCTTGGAAGCCCAAGGCTCTTGTAGTCGTCCTCCTGCATGCGGAGAGCACAGGGCCGGTTCAGTCTCGTCCTTGTCCCTGCTCTCACTGGGCACAGAGCCTGACACCTCCTCCCGACGTTACTTCCCTGCCGCATTGCTGTTGTTACGAAGCAGGAAGGAGTTGTGCTGGAGCGAGCAGGGAAAGTATGATGCGAGAGGAGAGGAGGAGAGTTCTCTTCATGCATGTGTGTCGCTCCTCCTGCCATCGCCACCATCGTCATCGCCACCATCGTCATCGCCGACAACAGCGACGAGGACACCGGCATGTTTCCCCCCACACTTTGAGGTACGGCCCCCGATTTCAATCGAATGAATCCAGTAGGTCGGACCAAGACCCCGCCTCACCGTCGACACAGACCAGGCCCGGGCGCCGGGCCCAGTACCGTACTGTACCGTCGGATAGCGACACGGTCGGCCCGGCCCGACAGCAGTAGGCCGGGCTTTCAGTGGCGGGAGTCTGTGGCACTGTCCACTCGGATCTCGGTGTGCGGGGGCGGCCGGGGGCCCGGCGCCGGGGCTGAAGGCTGCACCGCTGCCACGGACAGTGCCAGGGCACTCATGCTGGCAGTGTCAAGACTTGAAACCGTTGAAGAGTTGCACGGCTTGAATCCGGCCAGTCCAAGTCTGACAGATTCTCCGATCCTGCTTGGCTGCAACGTCGAGCTGCTATCTCAGGGATTGCGAACTTGTTTTCATTGATTCATACATCAAACTCTTAATCATGATATAGTTAGAAACCTTCGCCAGCCAGCACCAGCTTCCTCCGGAACGCGACGTCACGGCATGCTGGGGGATCAAAGTCAGAGCGAGGAGAGACACAGAGCAGGAGCACCGATGTAAAGCTTCTCACGCGCCTTGCCAGGAGCCTTGGGGGTGAAGTAGACAGGCAGCATGAGGTAATGCTCTGACACCACCAGCTCGTCAGCGTCATCACCATCCCCGACTCTCGCCTCCTTCCCCGCACCTGGCCTGATGTCCACGTTGACACTCTTGATCAGGAAGTTTCCTCCTCTTCCTCCGCTGATCTCCAGGTGCGCTGGCTTGCCCGACCGATTACAGAGCGCCAGTCTGACCACCGACGCCTCCCCAACTGGTGTGTTGGGGAAGTTCAGCCACGTGTATCTCTTACCCGAGGCGGGCTCACCGACCTGCGCAGTTTGCGGGCCTCGTCAGAAGTGCCGGGAGGACCCCAGCTGGGCCTCAGCTCACCTTGACCGGATGCTCACTGAGTGAGATGATCGGCCCTCCGCTCCTCGTGCTCGTGCGCTGAGGAAGTGCGGCTTCTTCCCTTGCCGTCGAGTAGGGGAGCACCCGGCAAGAGTCCTCCTGCTCTACCTCCACCTCCACCTCCTGTTCTAGATCTCTCCTCCTCTCAGAGGACTGGGCGCTTGTCCTGGTCGTCGTCTGTCGTCGGGACTGCGATCCAGTTAGCAGGACAGGCTGCGCAGCGGCAACCGGCACTCTCGAGACCTTCTGTCCGCTACTGTAGAGCTCCATCTGAGATGCAAACTGCTTGAGAGCCTTGATGGCAGACTGGACGTCCGGCAAGGCAGGAGACTCTGAGACGTTGAGCTTGGAGAGGTTGACCTTGGTGACACTGGAATCAAGTCAGTGAGACAGCAGGCAGCCAGGGCGAGGGCCAGACTTTGAGCTCAGCTCTGTCTCTGCTTTTGACAGTTTGCCGATGCTGAGGGGAGAGCGGGAGGCCCCGTTGCGCTCGCGTCTCCCGACGGAGACGCTCTCCTTGTCGCAAGACGAGCTTCCTCGCTCGCAGCAGGAGCTAGCAAGGAACAAGGAGGAGTCTTCTGCGTGGAGTGAGCAGCAGGTAAGAGGCTACCGACCTCCATTACCGGACGTTTGTCGAGGGAGAGAGAACCTGTGAGCCGACGAGGGGCCGCAGGGAGGGGCAGAGTCTGCTGCTGATTTCCTCTCGTTGGCAGGGTCTCTCATGGGAGGAGTGGAGGAAGGCTTCTCCTGGCGGGCGGGGAGGGCATGGGCCCTGACTGGCACATTGAAGTAGACCCCAACGTCCTCCTCGATCCTAAGCTGTAAGTTCGCCTTCAGTTGACTAGCCTCCTCTGGATCGAAGAGGACGGAGACTTTCTCCTGGCCCCCTGCTGGGATGTGAAGTTTCCGAGGCTCGACGACGATGGAGCTCGTTGACTCTGGTGAGATGGACAGCCGAACGGAGGCAGGGAAGCAGCCGGAGTTCCTCAGGGCGAAGCTGCGACGAGCTCGTTGGTTGTCCTCGCACTCGAGGTAAACCTACAAAAGAAGTCATCGGAGGAGGAAGGAAGGGCAGGAGAGGAGGAGAGGAGGAGCGAACAGGGAGGAGGTGGGAGGAGAGTGGAGAAAGACGAGGGCGCAAGCCAAGTACCTCCTTGACCGACTTGGGGATCTGAAGTCTGCAATGCCCGAGGGTACATCGCAGCTTCACTGTAGTCACGTCGCTGCAACGAGCTCGATCCTCGAACCCTCGGAGGATGTCGGACGCCCTCTGGGACTGGGAGAACAAGGAGGCCACTTCCTCCAGCTGGGCTGTCTGGACCTGCCTGAGGTACAGTGTTGCCTTGCACGTCTCCTGCCCCGGCCCCTTGTACGTCGAGGTGTCGACAGAGATCCGCAAGGGCCTCCTCTGCCGAGCTGGGACGGTAAAGAGGACGAAGCCAGCTGGACGGAAGGGAGCTTTAGAGCAAGACTCGAGAGAGATGCCGAAGGTGGACCGGGCGGGGGAGCTCTTGTCCTTCAACCAGGCCAAGAACGACACGTCATGGCCCGACGAGTTGACCACTGACGTGCCCTGATGTACAGGAGGTGTGAAGATTCCTGCAGTCTGGCAGTAGACCATGCCGAGATCGACCGACATGGCGTCGACGAACCAGTGCGAGTCTTGAGGGTCCTCCGCTCGTCGTTGCGCTCCTCCATTCACTCTCGACTTGTCCGCGGAGTTGACCTCCTCCTCCTCCTCCGCTTTAATAGAGACCCACGAGCAACTCGGTTGGGAGGAGGAGGCGTGGAATGGGATTGACAGGATGGCAAGATGTGTTTCTTCCTTGGAGGGCAAGCTGCCATCCGGGTGATATTTCACTGCCATGTCCACCGACTGGCCGGGCTGTAAGGTGGTTTCTTTGAGAAACTCCTGGGGCAGTGAGAATTTGGAGACGCTTTCCTGCAAAAATCTCAAGATCACCAGGATGGGATATTCACAGACGTTTCGGAACGAGAGAGGTTTGACTTTGTGCTGCCTGCTGAAGCAAAGGGAGGTCGAACTGACTTCCACCTGTGCGATCGGAGGCTCGATGTGCGTACAAGACGTCTTCCCTTCACTCTCAGCTCCCACGATTCTTGTCACCTGCTTCTCATCCTTAACTGCCTCGCCGTCGGAATCAACCAAACTGTCGGCAAGGCTGTCCCTATCATCGTCGTCTACCTTGTGATTCAAGTCATCGTCGTTTTCCTCAGGCGCGTCCGAGGAGCTTGAGTCGAAGCTTTCTTCAACCGGCAGGATGATCGATGAGTCACTGCCATTCTGCTGATAGTTGGACACTATGATGGATGGGGTGCCTTCAGAATTTTGCTCGTCCTGCTCCTCCATCGACATCCTGTCCCTCGACGCTCGGGAGGAAAATCCGGGCGAGTTGACCTCTCGAAAAGTTTCTCCTTGACCACTCACCGACGATTTCATTCGAGACGGTGGGACTTTACTTGTCTCGGTGAGGTAAAGCTCCTCATGGCTTGTAAGTATGTCGCGTTCTGAACGATCCGTCACAGGCTCCCTCTCGCTCACGCGACTCTCTGAATGGACCATCGACTGTGACTTCCCCTCTGCGCTCAATGCTGAGGTTTCAACCGTTCTCTGCTGTACACTCGATGAAACAACTGACTGACCTGGAGATTTGTTTTGAACCTGTGGCATCTTTACCGTTGTGCAGCCGCTCCCATCAGCACAACACTTGTCATCAACAGCCTCGCTTGCTCTCTTCATTCCACCCGACTTGGTCGCACCTTCGGAAGACGTCGAGCTTACGTAGCCCTCCTCGAAGCGTCTTAAAGAGCTCTTCTCAAATCCAGAGGAATCGTGCTGAATCTTTTGTTCTTTCTCAGCCCACTTTGCCATCAAGTACTTGAGGGAGGAGTCATCCAATTCCGTTTTTCTGGGTGTGAAGTTTAGTGGAGTGATGGGAGTCCAAGGCTGAACAACTCTCGTTGATCCTGACTGGTTGGTGACCAGACCGCCGCTCGACTTGACCAAGTTTTTCTCATCGCCAAGCTGAAATTTCACTTGCGAGGAGGTACTCCCTGCTGACTCATCGTTGGTCAAGGGTGAAGTATCTACCTGATAGTTGCTTTTCCAGCCATGAGATGACGTCATCCCTTGCACACTAACATCCGCTGCGAAGGGCGCATTTGTCCAAGATTCCTGCTGTGAGTTTGCCAGGTTGTCGGCATTCTTGGTACCATCGACGAGCATGTCCGAAGACAGGAAGACAGCGACGCTCTGACTCTTGCCAAATTCTCCTTGGCTCTCGTCATCACCAAGGTGCTTGACGTACATGCTCATTGAGTTCTGCCATCTCAATGCCGTCTTGCTTGTTGAGTTATTCTGCAACTTGTTTTCAATTGTGGAATTTCTCACGTTTGCTCTGTCTGCAGCTCTTTCAGGCGATTCTCCTGTGCTGAGGTCAGCAGCAAAGTGCCTTTCAATCCAGTTGATGTCATTCATCAATGACTTGGATTCTAGAGTTTCCAAATCATTTACATCACACTCCTGACTCATATGATGACGTGAAAGATCGTTTGAGACCTGCTGCTTTCTGGTGGAGAGCGATTGCAACTGGCTATTCAATCCATACCAGTCTTCGTCATGCATGACTGGAGCAGCCGTCCTGAAGTTCTTTGTTGCAGTGTCATGTGCATGAGGTGTGACTGCGTCGCTCTTGTTGTCTGCCTCCCACCTTTCTCCATAGGAAACGTCCCTCCGCCGCTCATTGCTGATGTCCAACAGTTCCTGAAAATCTCCTAGATCCTTGGGCGACGGCCGCACTTCCCAGTCGTTGATCCCATTGAGAGTCTTTGACAAGCCCATCTTGTGCGTTTGAGTGTTCGGTGTAGCAAAGTGATTATGATTCCCAGATAGGTCGTGATTCAAATCGTCACTGGTCGGGAAAACCTTGCTGCTCTTGTTTCTCTCAATTGACGTCCATTCATTGGAGCCAGGCTGCTCGGAGTTTGAAATGGACATTTTAAGATGTGAGAGCATGGGATACGCCAGGTTTTCTTTCTCTTCCATCAAATAATCCAGCGCACTTTGCTCTGCAGGCAATGGACCTACGTGAGGTCCTGGCGAATACACCATCTCATTGTTCATCTGACTGCCACCTTCTGGCATGGATGGCAAAGGTAAGTCGTGATACAAAGACTGGGACGACTGATCTGGAAAAAAGCGTTGTCGCACAGCTCCAGATCTCGCAAAGTCATCAGCAAGCTGCATCAAAGTATCATCAGTACCATGAATGTACAGAACAAATTCACAAAGTAAACCTGATCAGCAAAGTTCGACAGCTTACTGTCTGTGAATCGTAGAATCGAGTTTAACCTTTGTTCTTCGGTGTATGGCATGGTCGCCTGATACGAAGGTCAGTCATTGGCAATTTTTTCAACCTAGTTCTCCCAAAATTAATATGCAGATCAGTCTCTGAACTCTTAATCAGGTCTATTGCACCTCGTTCTAATCTTGGATCTATCTCAAAATTCAACGGACAAAACTTCAGGTGAATACTCCGAACACAGGTTTTATGATAATGGGAAGTAACGCAATGCCAGGTCCTTTCATACAAGACTTTTCAGACTGACATCACATGGACATGACTTTCTGCAATATGATGTCCTAGCTTTCCTCATCATAATGTCATCAGGGTGCCACAACGACCCTGACATATTTCTCTGTCCATTATTTCACCAGTATTTCATTTCCTATTTGCACAAAAACTCCACTTTTGACTTCAATTAAGGCGTGAAATGGAAGCAGTGAAGAAGTTGAATTTCTCTGGCTTGAATCTTTCTTGCCATTAACTTTCCCGCATCTGGAGATGTCTCCATCTATCTGTCGGTAGACCGATCAGCATTTGTTACAGCACATCTTCTCCTCTCCCTCCACTCTAATTTCTCTCTTGATGGAAATCAGGAATGGCGCATCGGCGGGATTTGAAGATTGGCATAATGATAACGGATCGATAACTGTTCCAGGTAGTAGGCTTGCAGCCTCAGTGACTCGGAGCGGCCGCCGCCGCCGGCCCGGGGCAGAACTCAGTTGCCCGGCCAGGCTTTCCGACAGTTTTGAATCAGTGACCGTCGGATCGGACTGACTCCTCTGACTAGTTAGGCTGATGGGCCGCTTGCAGCCGTTGCGCGCCTCCGCCGGAGTTCCGACTCCCCTTCAAGAAAGCCTGCTGGCAGCCTGGTGACGCCGAGAGTCCGACTTGCAAACGCATTCTGATCGGATCGGACTGGCAGGATCTTTCGCCGTCAACTCAAGGCCTCCCTGTCCCAGTTCCGCCGCCAGTTCCGGCGCTGCCATCATCGCGGGCCCTGTGCATCAGTCCGGTATCATATGCGTCACGGTCTCATTCCTTCGGCGGCGGCCACAGCGATCATCGGATCGGACTCCTGCTATGATCATCCCTGGCATGGCGCGGGGGAATTGTCCTGCACTGCAGTGCGCGCAGTTAAGTGAAGGTATCAGTTAAGTTTGGGGGACACTTAACTTTGAGTAAAGACCAAGTTCACACAGCCAGTCCCGGTGACGGCGGCACGACCGGTGAGGTCACCGAGAGTCACCGGGACTCGACGCCAGGCCCCGCGGCCCGCCGGGCCGGGGTGGAACTTCGGAATCACTGAGTGACGCGGCCCGGCGGTCAGTGCCACAGTGTGCGTGACCGCCCGGCCTAGCCTTCAAGTGTTGCTGAGATGCGACCCTCTAACTTCCAAATGAAAGATGTTGAGATACTTAAAATATTTATAGCGATTTTTAGATTTTAGACGTCATTTTGCAGAAACCATTCTTGGTTTTGATTTCATATCATGGGGGTAGGGGTAGACACAGGGGTAGTCCAGACCCCAGACATGGGTTCAAAACCGACAGCAGTAGTCTGTAGGGTACTTCCACAGCACGTCCAGAAGATGGGGTGATCCCAGTGGTTTGTGTGGAAAAAGTTAGTTGTAATTTTGTACCATGTTTTGCATTCAGTACTGAAAGATCCGTATAAGGCTGTAGCTAACAATCCATTTTTAGCATCTCACTATTTTAAATCTAGGACCCCACCCGTCCTTTTGTGTCCCTTACTTGTCACTACCCCTGAATTCATGTACCCTACTGGTGTCGCCTCTTGTACTACCCTACCCTTTAACACACTGTAACTACCCCCTGTTTACTGACATACCCAATCCATGGATATGAGCTACCCCACCTTTGAACTTTGTTTTTTGGTCACTTGATAGGGTGATCAGTCGAAAGGTACCTTTAGGTCTTGGACAATGCTAATTAACCCCTACCCACTGTTTCATTTGATAGTACCCACCATCCATAATCAACCATACCCCTCACCCCTCCCACGAGTACCCCCACCCTTTGGGGACAAACGACTACAACACCCCTTTCACTAAAACCACCGCACAGAGACAAAAGATTTTCTACCTCCATTTTTGCTATATATACCACCCCCTCTCTACCATCATACTCCTCTACAGGGACCCACCCATTCACAAATTTTGACTTTTCTGCTAACCCCTTACTTTCCCATGATTGTCAAGTTGAATTACCCCCTCTTTCCTGATCCTTGTATGAACTACCCAGCGTTCACATGCCCTGACCTTGACAACCCCCCTTCTCTACCTGGTCAAATGAGGGTACCCTACCCCCTGTACCCTACCCCTTTGAAACCATCCACCTCAGTTTTGTCAAAAGTACCCCTGCAGATCAGCTCATTAAACCCACCCCCATTTTCCCCTTCCCCTGAATTCTTACTCCAGGATCATGGACGGGAGGGATGGATCAACAGAATGTAGATCTGCGCTGATTCAGTGAAAAGTGACAGACTGATAGCAGGTCGATGAGATAGAGAAAATTCAGGGAGCCTGATCAGCTGAAAGTATGTGGAGGGTTGGAAGGAAGAGTTAGGATGAAGGGTCATGTTGAGAAAGCTCCCTGGCAAGAGACAGGAACGTAGGATGTCTCCAGAGCCCTTGATTTCAGTCAGAGTCGTGGCATGATCATGAGGATGTCAAAATATTTGAAATTGTTAAGATGGAAAGGAAGCGATGAAATCGAAACCGAGGTTGCATACGTCCCATCGAATTTAACCCTAAGACATGGAGGCGTAAGGCTTCTTTTCTTTCCCGCACGATATGCAGAATCTCTTAATGTCTTATCCCGATTGATTGATTTGCTGTACAGGTCTATGCTATAAGCTTGTGATTCATACCTCTGAATGTCCACGGCGGTGATTCGGATGGAGGGACTCCCCCTCAAGCAATTTGATGGGAATACGATGTGCTCCGACGTTTCCGCAGTGAACGTATCCATCTTTGGCAAAACAAACACATCAGAAGGTTTCCAAGAATTTTCCAGGACGAGATCGAAGAGTCTTCCTCCTGAAAGGTTCTTGGATGCCGAGAATCGGGGGTATGACAAGGAAACAACAAGCGTAGTATGCCTTTTGAGCAGTCCAGCAACGGATGAGCTGGTCCACGGACTCCCCATTGACGCAGAGATTGATTTGTTGGAGAATTCCCTTGACATGGACTACATGGTAGAAGATTCGCTTTCTCCTTCTAACGTCGATGAGTTGGTGGTACGCTTGAGGAATTTCCTGAGCAAAGAAGGTTTCAAGGACAACGAGAAAGTTCTGTCAACTGCTTACTTGCGTTCTGTGTTGTCTGGAACGAAGGACGGGAAGCAGAGGACATTTGAATATGTAGCGCAAAAGATCTTGAAATCATTAAGATGGCGTGTTGAGAACGGGGCAGCTTCGATATCCTTCGAGGATGTATCCAGGTGATTGCTCATGATATTTTTGATGCGCCCTGTTCCAACACAGCCCGCAGATCGCTTGCACCAAATCATATGTTTTGGTCTGGTTATGACAAGTTCGGAAGACCGATTCTTTATGGTGAGGGCGAGTCTGTGGTGTAGATCCCAGGATTGAGGTTGTTTTCTAGCTCGTCCAGCCCTCATGGACTTGAAAACCTATGACCGCGATGAATATATTCGAGCACATGTTTATCTGATTGAACGCGGCATCCAAATGATGGAGAAGGTAGCTTGATTTGAAGGACATTTAAAGTACTGCGTCTTAATTCTGAACTTTCAGGAGGTGTCTTCTTTCCTTCTGGTTGTGGACGCATCAGACCTGGGAAGAAAGCACTTGGATATCAGGCACGCGATTGATGACAATTGATGTGGAATCGTGACGTTTCGATGCTGCAGCCGGGACAAGGCACTTCTGAATGTTGCAACAGAGGCATACCCTGACCGTCTTGGAATGCTGCTGGTGTTGTTCGCATTCATGCGCTTTGTGTCCTTATCTTGTGCTTTCGCAGGTCGGGCCCGTAAACCTGTTTGTCCGAGCGGCATGGTCGATTCTTTCTAAATTGATACCGAAGAGGCTTGCGAAGAAGATTCACATGTCGAAGGATTTGACGTAATTGCATTTGCTGTCACAGACACCTCAACGGCTGACATGCTGTCTTGATTTGCAGTAAGAGTTTGCAAGATCTGCTTCCGGAAGGCTCCGAAATTCCTTCTTTAATCAAACGGAAAGGATGATGCATGCCATCTTCGCTCTCTTCGTCCTCAGTGCTTGTAGTAGTAGACATGTCCAAATTGTACAGAACTGTTTGTTTCTTGTTACCATGTCAGATCAGTGGTGTAGGGTTTCGTTAAATTCATTCCATATGTACAACTCGTACGACACACAAGATTCTTGCTGGCGCAATGATCCTGGGCCATATCATTTTGAGCAATCTCTTGCTCTATCGGTAGGAGAGGATCCAGGGGCTTGTCGTTGGCAGCTGTGCACACAACAGCTGACATTGCGTTTGAAAGGTACCATTCAAGGAACGACTTTGAGGTGATCAAACAAGGACTTCCCCTGCAGAACAAGAAGCATTTAGCTCGGAGAACTTTTCCATCAGACAATGCAAGGAAGTGCAAGGACAGCATGTCTCCATTCCTACCTCATCGCTTTCGTCCTTCTGTCGACGGGATGAAGGTCCTTTTCTACGGGGGTGTTATGCACGTGGAGGATAGTGCATGGGCACGTACCTGCTCGAAGTGCAGCTGTTTTCTGCTTCCTCTGCATCCTTTCCACACGTGCATTTACGGCTCGACCCTGAGTGCCAACCCCGAATCATTGGCTGAGGGTGGAGGACAGACAGAAGCGAACCTTTTGAACCGTTCTTCCTTGGGCTTTCACTCCCGCTCTCCGCTCCACTCGAATATCTTGAAGGATCAAATCAATCAAGAGCCAAGGAGAATAGGAGAGCGAATTTTACTCGCTCTCGCTGCTGCTCTCTCCAAACTTCTTCTTGCGGTGGAAGATGCAGCACTTGTTCGACTTTCGCTTCCCCATGCCCTGTCAAGCCACTGAGGTCCCTGAGTACTCCCAGCGTGCATCAAACCTCATTGTCAAGTACATCTTCGCTCCACTTCACCCTGTGTCTTGGAGCCAATCTCAAAGTGACCTGCGACCTTTCTGCCTGCTCCGCCTGCAGTCAAGATTTCTGTCAGGAGCTGCAGGGCAACCATCCTGGGACAGCATGAAACTCACAGAGGCTGTTGTGGTCTGACTGATGCCCGAAGTCTGTGTTCTCAATGAAGCCATGATCCTGTATTCGTGATCGCCTCCTAACGCCAACAATCGCCAAGATCAGCTAACACAAGACAGTCTCCAATCCAAAAACAGTCAAATCGACACGCTCATTCTCCTTTCTCGAACCGACAGCAGCAAGGTCGGTCTCAAAACGCGTATCCTCTCTACAGTTGCTTCTTCTAAATCGCTTTTCCTCTTCCTCTCCTCTTCCTCTGCTCTTCCTCTCCTCCCCCCTCCCCTTCTTCGACCCCGCAGGAGCAGCGAAAGCGCTCTGCCCCATTTTTTCGTAAATCTGAGAGCAGATAAGAAGGTGAGGCGGACCCGCTGGACATGTGCGGGAATGCAGTTAGAAGATATGGCAGGATGGGGCAGGCATGGAAGATGCTAGAGGAGGGTCGCGGGGAGGGAGGATGAAGAGGATCAGAGGAGAGAGTCAGGGGGGGGAGAGAGCTGTGATGGGGAGCATGCTCAGATAAGTTCCTGAGGTTTGTGTTCGTGGGTTGCTGGTTAGCGAAGTTTGTGGAGGCTCGGGTGGTCGACTCGTTGATTTCCGTTGCCAGGATGCCGAACCATAGCTTCCATGCAGTGGGTTATGCGTTCCGGTCGATCGAGACATCACTGAGGACAGGCTCACGTCGAAGATTCTCTCAATGACAGCAACATACTCGCCCCAATGCCTCGGTCTCCTCCTCCTGGCATTGTGGGCCCAACCATTGTTGTCGGCAAGGGTCTTGTCCTTCAACGAGACCTGCCGGCCTCTGGGATCGTCGAGCTCATGGTATGCCGATGGTCTGAAAGCTCGCGGCTGACCGCAACCGCAGGGTAAAGCTGAACGGAGACCCGGTACAATGCGCTGCCGCACCGATACTCTCCTCGCAGGAAACACCGGTCCCTGACGTCGGTGGGAGCGTTGTCCTCCCCCTGCCAACATGGGTGCACATTGACAACAGCAGCAACGTGACTTGTGCCTTGAACGGTCTGCAGCCGACCTGGGCGATAAGGGCTGATCCGATTGCAACCAACTTTGCTACTGGTGTAGAGCCTTTCTCGCAGACAAGATATGGGGTCCTCTGCCTCTTGCCATCATTCCTCAACACATCGAATCATGATTCATTCAACATAACACCTGTCATCAATGGGCGTGTGCTCGACAGCTCTTTTCCCATCAGGATATTCGGGATCTCCAACTTTGTTTCCCCGATTGTCACCTTCTCGGACGGCAAGGCGATTTTCACAATCAATGTCTACAACTTCTTCACGCTGAGCAAGCAGCAGACCCTGTCTCCGTACTGCAGGTTTCGACTCGTTCCTGCGGGAAATCAAAGCCTTCCGTGGTATCAGAGTAGCGCGATGAGAGATCCCAACAGGTGCGTGTTCAAGTTTCCTAAAATTTGTTCAGCTGACCTTGGTTGGTGACTAGGCAATATTTCAACCCGGCAAAGATGCAGGGAGATCAGCTCTCCTGCTCAGCACCTCCCCTTGCTCCCAAGATAAGCGTGTACAAGATGGCACTGTCCGTCAGTGCGGACATGTCAAGAACGGGATGGTCTGATGAGAGATACCTGGAGCTTGCTTCAATACAAGGACTGGGGCTATCGCTGGATCGCTCCTTCTTGCAAGGTTCTGTCCCCTTGATGATCTCAGGAAGTTACTTCCCGTATGATGCATACTACAACACTGTCTACATGTCCCTTGTACAGGTCCGCCTAGGCCGCGTTACGGCCGCTGGTAAGATCCTCAGCTCCAGCACCATGGCATGTACTGTACCCGCAAACTCAGCCGGGTCGTACCCAGTGGAGATCAGTCTGGACGGACAATCTTTTGCTGCCTTGAACTTCACTTTCCAATATTTTGCTACCCCCTCCGTGCTTTCTATCTCTCCAACCAAGGCCCTGAGACTCGGTTCAACCTTGATCTCGGTCGCTGGCTCCGGGTTCCCGCCCAACTCTCTTCTCAATGGGATTGCGTGCAAGTATGAAACATCGTCAGCGTACAAACTTACCGTCGGAACATTTGTCACTTCCACGAGGCTTCTCTGTTTCAGCCCCGAAGTCACCCTGACTGCCCCCTACCAGGACTACACAGTGAGCATTTCGTTCAACTCTGAGAACAGTGTTCTTGATGCGCAATGGACTGGCTCCTTGTCCGTCAGGATATTCCAGGTCCCTCAAATCTCGACCTTAACTCCAACAATCTTGTCAATCGTCGGGGGAACAACTATAACTTTGACTGGCACGAACTTCATCGCGACGGATCAGGTTTGCATCCATGGTCTTACACGACCCTGTGTCCTTATCTTCTGTGTAGATTGCGTGCAACTTTGGATCGGCTCAGCTTGTTGCTGCTGACTTCAGTTCTTCGAGTTTGCTGTATTGCAAATCTCCCAGCCTCGTCTACTCAAGTCCATCGCTGGATGTCTGCGTGACTCTCAATGGCGAAGACTGTTCCAACAAGCTCAAGATAAGCATCTACGTCATTGACGGCTTCTTTCCAACCGCTGCTTCAACTCTGGGAGGATCAAGGATCAACATCACGCTCAACTCTTTTTTCACTCTCAACCAGACAACGTGTGTTGGAACTAAGTGCATACAATGCAGGTTTGACAACAGCCTATCACCAGTGCCGATCTTAGGCGACGTGAGAATCGGGGCAAGTCTCTTCAACAATATCATCTGCATTACTCCCCCGCGGCCAAACCAAGCCGTCCTCTACTCCTTCAGACTCTCGTTGAACCAAGGAATCGACTTCACCCCCCCTCGATCTTTCCTGTTCTTTCAAGATCCTACATTCTCATATGTCAGTCCATGTCTTGGCCCAGTCTCGGGAGGAACAAAGGTGGGTCAAAGAAAATCATTATCTTTATCGGTGTGATACACGTTTGTAGTTCGCTCACGATTCTACAGGTGACGATTTTCGGTGAATTTTTCTACAAGATTGGTTCCAACACAACTTCACCATATGCTCAGTGCATCTTTGGAGGCCTTCGAGTCGCTGCATTTCTCAATGACTGCTCCAGCTCGACTTCAGTTGATGGAATCCTGTGCAAGCAGATCGCATGCCAGAGTCCCTCAATCAGCCAGGGGGTCGCAACCAACACAAGTTCTGTTGGAAGCAACCAGCAAGTGCTGCTTGCAGAACTTCGGGCGACCTTCACGGGCTTCGAGTCTTTTCACGTCATTGACTACCGATATTACAGCAACCCAGCAGTCAGCTCCACAAGTGAGAGGACTCGACATTTTGCCTTCGTCTGACTCAGTTGGTGGCAGCTCCTTCGAACTGTCCGAATATTGGTGGCACACTTATCACCGTCCATGGATTGCACATTCAGAGTGGATACAATGACACTCTTCGCTGCAGGTGTGCGATCGATTGAATGCCCGGCACAAGTTTGATCGACCTGACACTAAAGTTTCCAGATTCTGGCCGGCCAACGCAACCAACAGCGATAAAATTTTCCTCGACCCCTACCACTATCCGCCGGACCAGTCCCTCATGACCACTCGTGCGTACCTCATGACTACGCTCTACTCCTGTCCCATGATAACGTCGTACCTCCAGGCGCTTTCATGGATGCGAGTAGCAACCTTCTTTGTCCCTGTCCTCGCAACACTCGACTGGGTAAGTCTGCAGGGAGCTTGCGGTACGCGCGCTCATGGCTTCCCAGCGATCTTCGATCTAGAGTTCGCTGTCTCTCTCAACGCCCAGCAGTTCACAAGCAATGGCCCCAGGTTTGTCATCCATGCACCGGTAAGGGAGCTTCTTCTACACACAACAGTCCCAGCACAGACCTGATTATTCTTGCAGGTCGAGCTGTATGCAACAACGCCGCTATCA